GACACCAATCTAAGTGATTTTCACCGCTATGTGATCGGTATGTAAACCGGTAACACAATTTATTGGGTTTAGTTTCCTACATAAAGGAGATATATCGCAAAAACTGGTATCTGAACAATCAGTGCTATAGGAGATAAAGCTTATACAGCATAGATTTTGACGATTTTCTCAGTAGACTTTGTATTATTATTTATAAAATATCTTACGAAATTTATCGGTTTTAGCTGTTCAAATAAAGAAGTTTTACAGTAAAATCCCATATCTGAACAATCAGATGTATGGAAGATATATGTTGTAGTCATCCGATCCTTGTTATTTTCACTGTAAGTATTCTGTTAATAATGAGTGAAAATGGTGCGAAATTTCATGTTCCTAGCTGCATAAATGGAGGAGTTATGATAAAAGACCTCATATCTGAACAATCAGTTGTATGGGGGCTGCGGGTTATAGTGACCCGATCTTTATTATTTTCGATGTAAGTCTTCTGTTGATAATGAGTGAAAACAGCGCGAAATTTCATGGTCCTAGCTACATAAATGGATGAATTATAACGAAAAATCTCATATCTGAACAATCAGTTGTATGGGAGCTATAGGTTATAGTTACCCGATCTTTTTAATTTTCACTGTAAGTTTTCTGGAGATAATTATTGAAAACAGTGCGGAATTTCATGTTCCTAGCTATATAAATGGAGGAGTTATAACGCAAAATTTTATATCTGAACAATCCGTTGTATGGGAGCTATAGGTTATAGACCCCTTGTGTGCGCTAATGCTCTCCTGTAACATTTTTAAAATAGGACTTAGCAACTTTTCACTCTAAGCTAGCGATATATGTTTTAATAAACAACAAAAAAAAATACAATTTAATAAATAAAAAAATATCACCCTTTCCACTAGTTTTTGAATTAGCGCAAAAAATTGGCAAAAATCAAGCTACATTTTTGCAGCACGCACCACAGAACTCATAAGCTTACGGCGTAAATTTGCAAATATGTATCACCAACGGCAGCAAATATATGTAAATTTGCTACAAATTTCTCACTTCACCATAGAATATGGTAGTTAAAATTGGTGTGGCAAACTCCTTGATCTCAGTGGTGAACTCTCGCATCTCAGATCTTCTAATTAGTACTTGAAAAAATGTTACTTAACATTTGCGCCTTCTCATTAAATTAACATTCTCTGGTTACATCGCGAGCATTAGCATTTATTAAAAAGCGAGGTAAAAAGGCAATTTCCACAAAATCCATTCCCTTATAATGACTTTTGCTAAAATTTCAAAATCAAAAGTTATCAAAACAAATTCTATGGGGCTGAGAAATATTATTTTCCACTTTTTACTCCATTTATAAAAGCGTGGTATATTAAATATTTTTATTTTATTTTATATATTTATCTATAAAAAAAACAACAGATAGAGAACAAGTGTCTGTAAATAAAATGTATCTTTCGAGTTTTATTAACAGGATAAATGAAAAACTTTTGGTTTCTACACAAAGTTTCAGAAATATAGGAGCAACTATAACGTTAAAGACCAAAATTTTTACTATATATAGATATGTATATAGCTATTTTAGTTTTTCATTTCAATTAAATTTTGCGATGGAATCTTGTTCTGTATTCAAAACTGAAGATAAGTGTGTCACCATTCTGGACCAAAAACACGTATCGTAAATACAGCGATATGAACTACATACAAATTATTACTTGCCTGCTGTTAGTAGAATTAATGCTCGTATTACTGCGTGAACGTCTTGATATAATGGAGTCTCCGCAATTTACAACATTCCCTTTGCTTATCGAGAAATGCCTCAATCGGTAAAGATCATCACTAGCACGTGGATTATATGGCCGGTCAGGAAGAGAGCATACGCGTGGTCGTATGTGATCTGGAACTGTGAAATAATAAACAAATTTAGTTGTAAAAATTTAAAGAAAACATTCGATAATTACCTGGAAGCTCAAGGAAGTTTGAGGTTCGGCGTTGTTGGCCGCGTTTTGATACTTGAAAGGCCAGTGGCCCTATATCATCGTTTGAAAAAACAGATGTGTTACTAATCATAGAGTCCCGAGAATTGCGCCGACTAGCTAAGTAAGCTAGTCCCCCTTTGGAACTTCCTCTTCGTCTAGGCTTATTACCTAAAGAGTGAGAGTCGTCAAGAGTTCTTTGCTTGGGTGGACCACCTTCGGAATGTTTGGTCAAATCACTGGTTGATTTACGGTGTCGCAACGACGTAATACTGTCTGAATAAGTACGATCTAACGTTGAATGAGAGCTATGGAGTACCTATAATGCCAAATATTACACTTACTTAACATCATTGTAATAACTTAGCTTCATTTCCTCACCTGATAGCAGGGATTAGAAGTTATATGAATGCCATGACGGCGATGTTTACTTTTTCCACGTTGATCTGAAGGGATCATTTCACTAGAAATACTTTTCTTCGAAATGCAATCAGTTTTGTAAGTTTCGGAGAAACTGAAAGAAGTAGTAGCCGTAGCGATTGTACTATTGGTGTCATTCGACTCAAGGGAGAGTTGAGTACTCTCTGTGACGCAGGAATCTCTTTTCATGTAGAAATTTCCACTGTTCAAGCAATTCTCGTCAATTTGAGGCATTTCCCACCCCAGTGGTTTTGTATCTTCGCTGCCATGATTGCTGTCATGGAAGCGTAAACCTATGTCTAATGGTGAGGTACGTCTATGATTTTTTGAATTTTGCCTTCTTGGCCCAAAAAATGTTGGTGATCCTGGCATCTGCGGTGGAGTACCGAAGTACTCTTCACTATTCATTTGATAGGACTTAGAAGTTACATCACCCTCAGGAGATATGGGCTCGTAATATTCAAATTTTTTATAAAAAGGATCCACTACAGGGCTAATGGCTTCAAACACGAACTTCCTCGGAGAATTAGGGCTTCGTCGAGGTGATGCTGTCGCAGGGCCACTTAAAAAGCTAGAAGAAGAAGGAGAATCCACCGAATTACCTCGCGAAGATATGTCTTTCGGACTACGTGAGCTAGAAGTGGGCGTTTGATAATAAGATGGCGTGGAGGAGGCATCATCACAGCTGTCATTAGCAAAAGTAGTTGTAATTTTTGGGCTTCTAGGTGGGTTGTCATCGGTAAAGCCAACATTTCCATTTCTACTACTTATTACGGCAGTCTCTGAGTAAAACACATGAGAACTACGCGCCGAGGGACCTTGTGGTGCGGGACCAGAAGGATCATATGAGTTCACGATTTTCACGGCTAAACATCTGAAATTGTAAATCATGAAAACAACTTGTCAAATTTATATATGTTTATTGCAAAACAGTTTATATCAATTGTCTGAACGCGCCTGTTAATCATTCAACGTGAACCGATAAAGGTAGGCAGTTTCATCTTATATTTTGGCGGTAAAACGATTTACAGATGCATTAAGTCATCATTTAAGCGCAAGAAGTAATTATTGGCCTATGTATTTTTAGCCATGCATAAAGGCATGCAGTTAGTCTAGACTTAATTTAGGTAACGTAACGTAATATAATGCCCAACACAATATATTTTTGTTCAGGAATTTTGATGTAGATCTTACATTTAGATATGGATGCCATGCTCAAACGTTGTAGTTGCAATTTTTAGAGCTTCACAAAAACACTTATTGCAGGAGAACTAATAAAGCGATTCCAAAGAAGAATGCGGCGTTTTAAAGGTAAAATTCCAGATTTATTTTTAGATTCTGCTTTGTTATCAGTTTGGTTTCTGTCGTAGAAACAAGGATAAACATTGGCTTATTTTGGGGTCAATTTTGAGTCTTTAAAGTGCTCTACCAACTTAGGGTTTGCAGATATAACTCTAATTTTTGGAATATAAGTTACCTAAGGCAATATAAATATTATCGTGTCCAAATTTTATATAAATTATTCAAAAATTGAGCATTTTAGGCAAACAATTTTTGAAAAATTAACTATTTTTTCATTACGAAAATGCTCGAAAACCGCTCGAATGATTTGGTTTTCGTCTTCTTTAATCAAAAATTCAAGTTTTTCCTTTCGTTTCGTATCTATATTAAAAGTAAAAATTGGAAAATTTTTGTCGTGCATGGCTGTATTAAATATACATAATTTTATAACCCTGTAGATAATTTCAGGAGTTCAAAGCCCTTCCGCAAGGCCTTCCTGAGAGTCAAGAGGCTTTCTACTCTACATTCCTTTTTCGTTTCTTTTTTGTATGGACTGGCATCAATTCATTTTTTCAAATTATTGTTGCTTTTCCACAATAAATTTTCATTAAAAAACGGCCTCGAGCTCAATAAAAATTGTTGAATATAATTGTTATAAGGCCAAAAAATAACAAAAACAAATAACTTAAGGACGAGCACACCTAAAAGTTAAACATTCTAAAAATAGAATTATTAGCAAAAACCAACAATACCAACAACCACATGATCAAGTGAATTGCAGCGGAATAGCTGCGCTTGATTGTGTTGGTATAAGAAAAATGAAAATAGTGGAAAAAAGGAAACGATAATTTGNCGGAATAGCTGCGCTTGATTGTGTTGGTATAAGAAAAATGAAAATAGTGGGAAAAAAGGAAACGATAATTTGCAAGGCGTACTTAGCAAGGTGCATAGGTAACTGGCTGAGTCAGTGGGATCGTCGGTTCGAA